GTTTGGGGAAAGGCATGTGCTTCATAAATATGTATTGGAAAGTACTTAGCAAATGAGTAGAAATAATAAAAATATGTCAATGTAAACAGCTCCTATAAATATGTCACTTGGTAGACAAATTAGTGTTTTATTACTACTAAATACCGTGGCTTGCCGAAAAGGATTTCAGATTACTTGCACAATGGGTACATTATGGAGTACCTCTATAGAAGGGCATGATAAAGATGAAAAATAGTGATGACAGTCGTACCGAAGGTGGAGAAAGGGGGTGCATGGGCACAGGCAATTTGGAGGTCTCTGGGCTTTAGTGATGTACACGCGATATAGCCACATTCCACTGATTTAGCCAAAATGTGGACCAGAGGGCCCTCACAAAGCATTTCCCTGAGATGTCCTGAGTTCACACTCCAAGTTATTGGGTCCAATTAGCGAGTTAAGGGCATTCCCTTTCAGAGCCGTGCACTCAGTTTGTAAACTAAGTTTATAAGAAGACATCTCTGGGTCTCACCTCACTCTTATTCTGGACCTATTAAATTTCTGTCGCCATGATTCATATCTAAAGAAAGACAGACTGCTGTGCCTCAACCATGGCTCACAAGTCCATTTCAGAATAAAAGAGGATGGATAATTGTTGGCATCTGAAGAGAAAAGGAATCAGTATGCAGTTCCTGGGTTCAAACGCTACCATTGCAATGGGTTTGTGTATGTGTAGTGACATGTGCCTCTCACCTCAGCTAGTCAAGAACCGAAGCAGGAGCATTATAGACTGCTAAGTTAGGTAGGATATAAGCAGTCGCAGGGCTAGGCACTCCAGGGACTCAGGGCAGAGGACAAGGATGCTCTACAGCTGTGGCTGGAAGCGCATCCACTGAAGGCCAGGCCTCAAGATAAAGATGACCAGGACTCCCGAAGGGATGAGCAATATACTATAATTGGTCGCATCTGATTCAATGAAGTCTAGATAGGCATCAGTCACCCAAGTGGATGACCAGGACCTCCTGACTCATCTCTTTCCAGAATGGTCCTTGTTCTTTCCATGTATGCTTGTCGCCTGACTTGGTTTCCCATTGGACCAACTTTACCTAAGCAACGATACTTGTAATTATATTGGTTGATCATGGTTTTGTCCCACATTGTACCAAACTCATGATTTTGATCTATAAACTTCCTCTGGAGAATGAGCTCTTTGGCAGCCCACTTGAGTCCCCTCCTGTTTCTCTCAGGAGCTATCTCTCCCTGTCATAGCTTGGGGTTTTCAAGGAGAAACAATACAGGAGACATAATTTCTAGAATTATAATAGTCACTCAAAGATTCATGTACAAAAAGCACAGGAAACCTGTTGACGCACTAAAGACTAAGGAATCCAGCTGAGGGCCTAGCTCCCATGGTAAGATCCTGCATGGGTCTAGCTGAAAGACCTAGAACTCATAACAATGCCCCAGATGAGTCCAGCTGGAGGCCAAGAACACACAACAATGTCTCAGGCAGGTGTGTTTCACAGATCTATACTGGAGAGGCCCAAAGGGCGGTGGTGGAAGCTAGAAAGTCTGTGTCAGTGAGATGAAAGATCTGGACCAACCGGCTGAGAGATCTGCACTGGAGCCAGGAAATGATGCTCCAAGAACTAGCACTCCCTCCTCAAGCACCACAGCCATCCTCAGCAACAGTGAGGCCCTGAGCTCCTCCAGTATGAGGACAGCCAAGTTCCCATCAGGAAAGCCACGCGACAAGCTTCTCCAGGAGACTGAACAGTGCACCATCTTCCTTTCCTGAGCCAGGAAATGATGCTCAAAGGAAGAACCAGAGCTTCCCCAAAGTGAGCTGTAGCTATTCCCAATGACAACAAGGTCCTGAGCTCCTTTGAGGATGAAAACAGCTGACAACCAGCATGACAAGGTCCTCCAAGGAGAACCAACAGCTCCCTCACAGCTGCAAACAGCTTTACTTCTCCAGTTCTGCCTCATGCTGCTGGCAGCAATCCTCAGGTGCGCCTCCCATGCCCAGAACCCCACTTACTCAGTTCAGCTGGGTGTTACAAGTTGCCCACCAGTTGGCAATCCATCACAGGGTCTCAAAATTGCCTACTCTTAATCTCCACTGTTCTTCTGAATTTATTCTTTGATCTTTTTTTTTTTAATTTATTTTTATTTATTACATTTCTTGTGTGTGTGTGTGTGTGTGTGTGTGTGTGTGTGTGTGGCCAGCTCAGTCCACCAGGGGGCAGGGCTGGCTGGCATGTGGTGCTGGAGGATCGAACCGAGGTCCCTGTGCTTTGCCAAGCTTGTTTCAAGTAGGCGCTTTAGACCACTGAGCCATCTCTCCAGCCCCTATTCTTTGATCTTGAAGAATATCAACTCAGTGTGTCTGACATCTAGCAGGTTGGGAGTTATACTAGTTCTGATACCACTTGGAGGCCCTATATCAGGAGGACTGAAAGTTTGAGACCAGACCAGGCAAGTTTGTGAGACCCTGTCTGACATACACACACAAAAACACACACACAAATAAATTAAAAAAAAATATGGCTGGGAACATAGCTCAGTGGTAGAGAGCTTGCCTAGTATGCATTAGACCCTGGAATTATTCCCCAGTACTGACAGAACAAAAAGAACCAGAGAGGGAAAAGAGAAAGTAATACATGTCTTTGTGGGGGAAATAAGGCCCTGGTCAGAAGGACAGAAAAGACAGTACATCAAGGAAAGTGACAAAATATAAGGGGGAAATGGGCACATTTAAATCAGGAGTAGGTCAATCTTTCCACAATTTCAGGTGGTACAAAGAAATGACAACATCCCAGCTTTGCCTTTGTCTATCTGTGTAGATTTGGGCAAATTATTTAATATGTAGATCTTCACTGATAACATGGGAACAATGCTACTCAGTTTGCTGAGTTGTTTTTGAGGACTGGCGATAATAAAGGTACTTATAGTAAAATAAGAAGGCCAAATTTGTGATCCTCCCGGCATGGCCTCCTGCGTAGCTCGGATGAGGGGCCAGCTGTGGACATTTTCACTGAAATTTCCCTTATGATATTCCTTAGTTTAAAATACAAGCAAGGGGCTGAGGATGTAACTTAGTGGAAGAGCACTTGCCTCGCATGTGTGAGGCCCTGCGTCGGATCCCTAGCACTACAAAAATAAATAAAAACAATACAAATTGCCCAGAAAAACGGTAGGTGGTCTCGATAGGAACCTAAAGCCAAAGAAAACTGTGTCACTAGACACCAGTCATAAGAAAAGATTAGAAGGAAAGATTATTTTCATGACTAGGCACCTCAGCTTACACTGGCTAATGGTCCCCTATGCTACTCTGGCATCATATGGTTTATTACGCACTGGGTATATTAGCTCATTTAATCAGCGATCAACCTGCATTTTCGGGATAAAGAAAAGAGTTCAGAAAGGTTAAGTACCTCCTGGAAGGTACGCAGCTGATGCATGGCGGAGGTGGAGTAGCTGTCATTGTACCACAGCCTTTGTCATCTGTCTCCTCACGGGTCTGAGGAGAAAGTAGCTAATCCTGGGTGGATGGGAATGCCAGAAGCAGGAGGTTCCAGTACGCCCGAGGGCTAGTGCGGGTCCTGATGTCTCTCTCCGGCCTGGCTGATACATGATCCCAGCTGTGGGACAGGGTTTCTGAGTGGGGAACCATCTCCCGCCCCTAGTATTGCCCTGGAGGAACAGCCCTGGAGATAGCAAAGTGAGGCAACTTCCAAGCTTTTACAATGAAACCAGATCCGAGATGCGCAGGGACTCGCTCAAGGTCACCAAACCTGGACCTGGCCCAGCGAGGACTCAGAACCTGCGCTGGGCCCTCTTCAGGGCAGGGTTCTGTAGCCAAGGCAACCAGGACAGCCCGCCGCCGGGGGAGGAAGCCGCGTCTCCTCCGGCTCCCGCCGGGCCCCTCCTCCCGAGGGTTGGCACCACCAGGGGGCGCGCGCGCGCGCCGCGCTCTAGCCCGCCGCGCGCCTCGCTCCTCTCTATGGTGGTGTGGCGGCCGCGGCGGCGCGCTCCCGAGAGGGGGCGGGGCCTCGCAGGGGCGGGGCC